TACTGATCACATTTTGAAATGCCTAAAAGACTTTATTGTTCTAATTATCCAGATGTACCTTTGTAAAATAGCTCTTTTATGAATTAGCTGATAAGGCTGTATGTTTCTGGAACAAAAATATTGGTCATCTAAAAACTTTCTGTTTTCTGGGGTCTGGGAAAATAGAAAATGAGAGTTCAAATATTAAATATGCTTAAAGGAACCAAGTATGTGGCTTTTTATTTATATTCTTCTTGATTTGTCTGCTACAAGTCATGGTAGAAAAGCTAGGGCCCCAAGGAGGCCTTAATGAATCTTACACTCATGTCTGTGATGGGGGAGCGACCGTGAGGACACCCCCGGCGGGGGGAGGGGGGGACAGCGTCTAGGGCAGTGCTTTTGCTTCCTAACAGCTGTATTGATACCTGTTTGCTTTCGTACAGTTTGCTCATTTAATGTGTACAGTTCAGTGATTTGGGGTATGTATGCTTTAAATTGTAAAACATATGTAACATAAAATTTGTCATTTTAACCATTTTTTAAGTGTATAAATCAGTGGGATTAATGAGGCAGCTTTCATGGTTCACTTGAAAATGACTTTGGTTTAATGCTACCCTAAATGAAAATATGATGTCTTTATTACCATTCTTATCCCCAGTGCTGGACTTCTTCAAGTAGCAATATTTCTTTGCTTTTATGGATCAACTTCTGGGCTTTTTTGGTTTGTTGGTTTTGACATAGAGGTATCATTTGACTTATTTGGGGGATGATATTTTAGTTTTCAGTCATTCAAGGGCACATTTGGCTGATAGACCTAATAAGCTTGACCAAAAAAATGCTCAGTATTTTGTAGGATTTTTTAGTTAAGCCTTTTAATACCCAAATGTACTTTGGAGAAACTTACCTGTGTGTACTTGTGGCTGTGTGTATGAGCGTAACCAGTAGGGAAACGCATGCCTGTTCCATTCCCACTTGCTCCTGGATGGCCATTTTCTAAGAAGAGTGGCAAAAATAAAATACTGTCTTTGCATATGAGCAGTTGCTTTCACTTTTTGCTGTCCTCTTCCAAGCTGAATGACGGGCTCACCAGAAGTTTCATACCACTTTGAAAGATAAGACGGTCTATCCTGATGAATAGTTGCTTTTCAGTTGGACTTGATGTCTTCCTACTCTGACGAATGTCCTAAAATATTACAGATAAATAGCTAGATGTAGGTGTTTCCCATTTCTTTCTGTAATGTCAAGTGTAATCCATATTATGAACTGCAAGTGCTTGCCTGGTCTTCACCATCAGGGCACATATTTGTTGTGTCATCTGTTATTAAGGAGACACCATCCTTCCCTGAGCGTCAGCCGAGGCCTTGGTGTGAGATCATTTAAGGTAGGTAGAGCTCTCTCTCTATTCCAGTCTTTCTCCCTCATTTGCTAAGGGTGCTTTGGGACCTCCCTATAATTTAAGACTTCCTTTATAGCATTTTATTCCAGGGGATCTGTTTCTTTGTACATGGGACCATAGAGTTGGGACCACCCAGTCAACATTCTGATCAGTAACAATAATGAGGGCATATCTTAGGGTTTTGTTTTGTTTTTGTGTTTTAAGTTTTTGGAGAAGTATCTGTACAAGGAAATTGTTTCTGCCCTCTAAAATAATAAAGGATAGCCATTCTTTTTTGTTTTTTAATGTTTTATTTCTTGGAGAGAGAGAGAGACAGTGTGAACAGGGGAGGGTCAGAGAGAGAGGGAGACACAGACTCTGAAACAGGCTCCAGGCTCTGAGCTGGCAGCACAGAGCCCGACGCGGGGCTCGAACCCACGAACCGCGAGATCATGACCTAAGCAAAAGTCGGACGCTTAACCGACTAAGCCACCCAGGCCCCCCTAAAGGGTAGCCATTCTTAATCTTCTTTTGGACGGTGGGCGGAAGACAGGGTGCAGAGTGAACAGGGGAGAGGGCAAAGGGAGAGAGAGAATCTTCATTTAAAATTTTTAAATGTTTATTTTTTGAGAGAGAGGGGGAGACACAGAATCCGAAGCAGGCTCCAGGCCCTGAGCTGTCAGCGCAGAGCCTGATGAGGGGCTCTCAGAGGATCTGAAGTGGGCCCCATGCTGACAGCAGCTAGCCTGATGCGGGGCTTGAACTCATGAACCATGAGCTCATGGCCTGAGCCCAGGTCGGATGCTCAACGACTGAGCCGCCTAGGCTTCCCTAGGTTTTCAAATGTCTTTATTCTCTCATAGAAGAGGATAGTCAGACCCTCATATCTGCTCTCGCATGCAGTCTGGTGCACCATGTTGTTTTGGTTGAAGTATGAAGACAGCTTCATACAGACAACAGATTTTAAAAAGGGGAAAGCATTTTAATAGCCTTTTCAGATGATTGTGGGTCTTCTTGGATACCACACTGAAACTTGACAAATGGTAGTTTCTTAAAAGAGCTGCAGTGTGGAATCTGAAGCCATATCAGTAACATTTCTATACTTTGTTATGCTAAAATCCATCCATCCATTTCATACTTTAAATAGGTGAAGGATGGAATCTTTTACCTATGCGTAATTTTGTAATATCCTGTATCAATAATTTGGGAAATACTGGTTTGCCGAATTACGTAGGCCTTCAAATGTTGACCCATTTTTTTTTTTTTTAATGTTTATTTTTGAGAGAGACAGCATGAGTGGGGGAGGAGCAGAAAAAGAGGGAGACACAGAATCAAGAGCGGACTCCAGGCTCTGGGCTGACAGCACAGTGCTAGACACGGGGCTCGAACCCATGAACCTGAGAACACGATCTGAGCCGCAGTTGGATGCTTAACCAACTGAGGCACCCAGGCACCTGCCACCCCCTTTTCTTTATGTAGTATGAAAAGCTCACATTTATTGACCTCATTGACTGATCTCATCAGAAAGTGTTGTGGTGGTGGACACGTTTCCAAATTAGTAGTTCAGTGAAAATAGTTATGACTCCTTATGTCCCTGAAAGGGTCTCAGGGACTGCCAGGGGTTTGGAGACCATACTATGAAAAACACTAGTGTGGTGAAAGGACCCTGAACTTAAGACGATCCAGATTCGACTCTGCTTACTTGCTGGGTGACCCTGAGCAGGTTCCCTCCAGATTCTATTTCCTTGGCTGTAAATGAGGGTCAGTAATACTTAATGGAGTTGTTGTGAAGAGGGAATGAGAAATTTCCAAGCATATGATTGGTTTCTCTAATGATGGTGGTGGTGGTAGTATTTTATTCTAGGAGCTGAATACTTAACGCAGGAATGGTGAAAAATGAGTAATGAATTTAGAATATGTAAATGTCTTTCTTACTAATGCAGCCATATTTCAGGTTTTTAATGGTTCTGTATGTCCAAGCTCTAGGCTCCTCTGTGTGTGCGTGCGTGCGTGCGTGCGTGTGTGTGTGTGTGAAAGAGAGAGGGAGGGAGAGAAGGATGGGAGAAGAGAATGTACATTTTTTTCAAAATTGGATGCTAGCCTCTGTAATAGTATACTCCTTTAAGCTAATTGTTCTTTTAAATGTAAAGAAAGAAAAAAGCTTTAAATGGGTAAGAACCTTCGTTTTAAGAAACCTGCGTGTTGGATGTGTGCTGTTTTGGTGCTACTGTTATAAGATGTTCCAGAAACTTCAAAATCATGTGTATGCATTGTGCTAATACTACTTGGGTTTATCTTCCAGTTAAAGCTGGATCTTGGCTGTTTTGAAGCATCTTTATTTCCTTAAAAAATATGAGCTGCTTATATTAAAAATAATTTTTTTTGCTTATTTTTGAGAGGGAGGTAGCATGAGCTGGGGAGGGGCAGAGAGCAAGAGACACAGAATCCAAAGCAGGCTCCAGGCTCTGAGCTGTCAGCACAGAGCTCAACGCAGGACTTGAACCCATGAACTGTGAGATCATGAATTTAGCTGAAGTCAGGCGCTTAACTGACAGAGCCATCCAGGCACCCCGTGCTGCTTATATGTTTAGTTAATGGGAAACTGAGTTATATTGTATAATAGATTATAAATATATTTAATGAGACTTTGTGGGTTTTTTTTTAATTTTTTAATGTTTTATTTATTTCTGAGAGAGAAAGTGTGAGCAGGGGAAGGTCAGAGAAAGGGAAACACAGAATCAGAGGCAGGCTCCAGGCTCTGAGCTAGCTGTCAGCATAGAGCCCGATGTGGGGCTTGAACCCATGAACCGTGAGATCATGACCTGAGCCGAAGCCGGACGCTTAACCGACTGAGCCACCCAGGTGCCCCGAGACTTTGTGTTTTACCTTCCTAAAAATGCATATGTTGCCATATCTACTGCAGTAAAGAGCATAAGCAATTTTCATATTCATGTATGACTATGAATTTCATATACTTTGAGACCTTTTCTAGAGAACCCAAACCTTGCAGCCCAGACATCATGGCCCAAAGTCCAGCGTGTGGCAGGGTTTCTGGGGTTTTCCCCTGCCTTCTTCAATCCTAAGGGAGAGAGCCATACATAAGACCAAGGAAGCAAGACCAAACTAAAGTTCTTTCTACTCTCCGCTCTTATATTAGGTCTATCCTAGAACAAGTCATTGACCTTGTCTGGACCTCTGTTTTCTCATCTTCTACTGAGGAAGTTAGGTGATGGTTCCCTCAGGTCCCTCCCACCCTGATAGTCCTGTGAAATTGGTAGCACAGGAACACAGAGGCAGAGCTTAGCTCTCACTTACTGGGTAGTCTCAGGTAAGCTCTATCCTTTCCTGACCGCATGTGTTTCTCCAAATAAGAATTATCATTTTAACATCACTCGCCGGCGTCTGTCCCTAGACATTTCTTCTTCTTCTATTCTTTGGAATCTCTTCTTCTGATAGATTCCTCTAGCTCAGTATTACCTGCAGTCTGAGGAAGTGTTATTTACAAATGTTTCTTCTTTTGTCCCAGGCTCACTGCCAGTTTAAAAGATTCTTGGGGGCTTTGGTGGAAGCAGAGCTGACATTCCTGGTTCAGATGAGACTTTCTGAGCATTGGCCAAGGAGAGACTGGCAGATCTTCTTTTCTTTTTTTAATATGGAGTGCTTCTCGAATTTGCATGTCATCCTCGCGCAGGGGACATGGGAATCTCTGTATTGTTCCACTTTTGGTGTATGTGCTCCCTAAGTGAGCCTGAGACTGACAGATCTTATCTCCGTTCCGCTCGTGTCCTGAGTGATGGCCTCTTCTGAAAGCTTTATGAAATTTGGCAAATACACAGAAGCTGAGTGCCTAGAACATGAGGTAGCTGGGTTGATTATTTAGCAAACAAGTGCCCCATCAGAAAAACTGGTCCAGCCAGCAAGAGTAAGTCTCAGAGAACTTGGAAGCTTTCATGCCATCAAATATCTATGGGGCGCCTGGGTGGCTCAGTCGGCTAAGCAGTCGACTTCGGCTCAGGTCATGTTCTCGTGGTTTGTGGGTTCAAGCTCCATGTCGGGCTCTGTGCTGACAGCTCAGAGCCTGGAGCCTGCTTCGGATTCTGTATCTCCCTCTGTCTCTGACCCTCTCCTGCTCACGCTCTCTCTCTCTCTCTCTCTCTCTCTCTCAGAAATAAATAAAACATTAAAAAAATTTTTTTTAAATATCTATGAAGTAACAGCTCAAGTGAAAAGAGACACAACAAAACCGGCCCTATGCCTTGCCATCTATCAAAAGTAAGAGCCTCAAATTTTCTTGACTTTTCTCTTTTCCTTTTAGAAAGTGGCCTCTTTAAGATAAATTCTAGGGGCGCCTGAGTGGCTCAGTTGGTTGGGTGTCCGACTTTGGCTCAGGTCATGATTTCACGGTTTGTGGGTTCAAGCTCCGCATTGCTGACAGCTAGCTCAGAGCCTGGAGGCTGTCTTCAGATTCTGTGTCTCCTTCTCTCTCTGACCCTCCCCTGCTCATGCTGTCTCTCTCGGAAATAAATAAAACATTAAAAAAAAAAAAAAGATGAATTCTGACTCAATCAGGCAGTCAGTGGCATTTGCCTCCAGGACACAGAGAGCTTAGTGTTTGCTTCGGGGGGTGGGGGGGTGGTTTTTACACTGTAATAAGAGTGTATAGGGAAGGTTCTGGATCTTTAAATGTGAGTCGTGATTGATTGACTTACATTCTCAACTTTTTTCTTCCTGTCTCTTCAGAGAAGTTCTGAGCAGATTGCAATTAAGACAGGGCACTCTTAGGCAGATTAAAATAAGCAGGAATCTTTCTATCTCGGGTCAGAGTAGCTTGGCAGCCATGACTTGTGGGTTGACTGATTTATTCCTAGCTTTGTTTCAGAAAGCAAAGAGTTGGAGGAGCAAGGTGTTTGAAAATGTTTTGGGGGGAAAAATAAAATATGGGCCTGAGAGGAAATCGGCAAAAGACCAGGATCCTTTACAATATTTGTTACTAGGGTCTGTGATTTTTTTTTTCTTTCTTTCAAAATGTCTTTCTGATTTACTCCTCGCTCTGTTCCCACCTCGGCCAGGTCATTTTGCACACGTGAGTATCCAAAACGCCGGCACGAGGGTGATGGGCGTGGAGGAGGGCACTTGTTGGGATGAGCACTGGGTGTTGTATGTAAGCCAATTTGACAATAAATTATATTAAAATAAAATAATACACCAGCAAGGGTTACCGCTGTTCTGTCGGTCATGCACGTGGCTTCCCGTCCCGTCTTCCAGAAAGCCACCCCTTCCTTCGTGTCACTGGCCTGCCCAAGAACCACGATGGCTTTATGGTGACTGCTGGATGGAGACGGAACGGTGCCCAGTTTCTGAGATGGTCGTAATTTATTTGAGTGACTTGATTTCCCTCTCGCAGCCTTGGTGACCCTCCACCTCCAGGAAGGCCGAGCCTCCTCCCTTCCTCCCTCCCATGCACTGCAGGTCCCGCCTCATCCTCTGCTTTGACACCAGCCTGGAGCGCACCCGGCTCTCCGTGGCCTGTTCATCTTCTCAGGCTCACTTTTCTCATTTTCTTATGCAACCGCTAGTTATTGTTCTCTTTGCCTAATTTCTTCTGCAGTTGCGGTTTTCCACTGCATTCCCCCAGACCCCCTTTTTCCACTTAGCGATATGAGTATAGGTAAGAGCCTAATGTTTGCCTCTCTGAGACCAGTGTGCTACATCTAGGGAGGATGAAAAGTAGTAGCTACGGTGCGTTCTATACGAACACGTGTCCGGTCCTTCCCTTAGGTGCGTTACCTCTAAGCTTCACGAGCGCCCCGAGAGGTAAGCATTTTTTTTTTCCTTTCTTTCCTTTTTCTTTTCGTTTTCGTTTTTTCAACAAATGAGTAACTGGAGTTACTGGTGACTGTGATGTTCCTCGTGGAATAGCTAGACTTCAAGAGAAGGTCTTGCTTCCACCAAATCCTTGTCTTTATGACCCTGCCGTGGAAATAGCTTCTTCCCTTAAAGGCGCCTACGATCGAATAGCAAAGACAGGTGCACAACTGTCACTTTTCCGCCGCTCTGCCGTACTGAGCTGTAAGGTCACTTAATGCTGGACCAAGGCGTAGAAACTTGCGTCTCATTTCAGCTGCTTGATCTTGGGACAGGTTGGGGCACAGCTAAACATAAACAGGACAAATCCAGCCACTGAGTCACAGTAGAGTCGTAAGGGGAGAGTTAGTACCGAGGGAGGCTGGTGGAAAGCTGTGGTAAGAGCTGGGACGGAGTAGGGGGAAATGGTGGACTTACAGATGTTGGCATGGACCCCACTGAGCAGAAGGGGGAGTGTTAAAAAACAAAAAAAAAAGTCTCGTGGACCTGAGGGACTAGTGTTGGCATGAATAGAAATGAGGAGGCGTGAAGTCTCGAGAGAGGCTGTGAGGAGAAATTAGTTTCATTTGACACGTCGAGTTTAGACAGCAGCCTGTCAACAGACATGGCCATGGAGAAGCTACCAGTGGGGTCCTGGAGCGTAGCTGACTTGAGTCATACATGCTAGTGTCCCGGCTGGATGTACACCAGGAACGTCGTGTCCATAAAACCTCAGAGTGGAAAGTCCTTCAGAGTCTGTCAACAAAATGGCACGTCCACACAATGGAATGTCATCTGGCCCTGAAGAGGAATGAAGGACTGATCCGTGCTACAGCAGGATGGTCCCTGAAAACTTCACGCCAAGTGAAGAAGCCAGTTACAAAACACCACAGATTGTAGGATTCATTTACATGAAGTGTCTAAAATAGGTAATTCCATAGAAACAGAGAGCAGATTACTGGGTTGCTGGAGGCTGGGAGATGGGAGAATACGAATGGGTATGGAGGGATCAAAATGTTCTGGAATTCGATGGTGGTGATAGTTACACAACCTCACAAATACACAACCACTGAATTGTACACTCTAAAAAGGGTGAATCCTATGGCATGTGAGTTATACCTTTTAAAGACTGGAAGAGGGGAGTGCCCGGGTGGCTGATTGGTTGGGTGTCTGACTTCGGCTCAGGTCATGATCTCATGGTTAGTGGGTTCGAGCCCCGCATCAGGCTCTGTGCTGACAGCTCGGAGTCTGGAGCCTGCTTCGGATTCGGTGTCTCCCTCTCTCTCTGACCCTCCCAACCTGCTGCGCTCTGTCTCTCTTACAAAAATAAATATTTAAAAAAATGTTTTAAAAATGGAAGAGAAAAAAGTGCCTCAGAGATCACATACTTTGTTCCTGTCCTGGGTGATTCCGCGCCTTCTTCCGTTCCCTGCTTCCACTCCTTACCCACGCGTAAAGAGCTCCTGTCGCAGGGAACAGCTTGTGTGGATGAAAATGAAGCAATAAATGTAAAGCGTGTAGTACCCAGCACATAGTCAACACTTGATAAATGGCAACAATTTTTTCTTACCTCTTGCCTGCCCTTTACAACAGTAAGCGCCTGGTAAGAGCTCAATTACTACACATGTTTTGGTCATCTGACAGCCTTAAAAGCGTTGAAGCAATGACATTATTGGAATAATCTGTGAAAATGTTAAGGTTGGTTAGTGGTTTTATTTTTTTAAGACTCTACGAGGCACCCGGGGGGCTTTAGTCAGTTGAGCGTCCGATCTTGTGGTTTGTGGGTTCGAGCCCTGCGTCGGGCTCTGTGCTGACAGCTAGCTCAGAGCCTAGAGCCTGCTTTGGATTCTGTGTCTCCCTCTCTCTCTCCTCCCCATCTCGCTCTGTCTCTTTCTCTCAAATATAAATAAATATTAAAAAACAAGATTTTAAGAATCTTGATGGGATCTACTGAGGGGCTTTTGGATCTGGACAGCTACATGAGGGCCCAGCAAGATGCCGGCGGGGGCGGGGGGGGGTTGTGTCTAGTTTCACCTCCTCCTCCAAAGATCCAATGATATTAAGAGCTAAGAGCAGTCTTTATTTAACCTAGGGCAGCTGACCCCCAAGCCTTCCTAACAGCCCTATGCATTTTGGTAACTGAAAGAAATGAAGATAGTCTGGAAAGTGCATGCAAGTAATGACTAGTCGTTTCCTAGATTCTTGTCCTCATCTCAGAATTTTTTTACCATGGTTTTGGCTAAGGTCAGGCAAGCACTAGGAAATGATGCGGCACTAAAATCCTAGACGGGAGACCATCTAGGAGGATCTGGTGACCTTTTACAAGCCACGTGTTATGTTACATTAGTCCGGCACGATCCTGGTGTTCGCTGGGGATGTCTGGGCGGGTCTTGCATGGCTTCGTCAAACACTGTAATACACTCAAGAGGGGAAGCCATCCGTAGCTTTGCACCCAGGGAGCGTCCCTACCACCTCTCATTTCCTCCACCTCTTACTGCCCATCCCTTACTCACTCCCCACACCGGGCAGCTAGACCCACGAAACACCAGTGCTCCATTCAGAGGAACAAGACAACTGAAATGTCCCCACCTGCTGGTTTCCAGAGGTCACTTGTGTGAAACAGTTCCCCCTAATCGATGTCTGAACCTCCTTGATACTTATTCAGCTCGGTGGAATATATTCTATTCACCGGAACTCTGTGGATGGGAAAGTAAACCTGAATGTCTCTTCTCTGGAGACATCATCATATCTCTTATTATCTGAGATTATTGTTCGGCTGGGATATTATTAATGAGCGGAGTCCCTGCTGGAGATCTCATTGCTTCCTTCAGCTGCCAAACAGTTTCGCAGTACCTTGGAGACCAAACTTAATTTCTTGACTCATCTCCTCTGGCTTTGCGTCTC